GTATCGCCTCACAAAGGGAAGTGACTACGTTCTCCTAATCGTCTACGTGGACGATCTCCTCTACATTGGGTCAACCGACGGCATCGCCACGTGTTTCGAAGGGGAGCTTCATAAAGACCTCACGCTCACGGTCTCTTCTACCGTTACGCAGTACCTCGGGCTCAACATCCGCGAGGAAGAAAACGCAATCTATCTAATCGCCGATAAGTACGCCGACACCATCGCGAAACGCTTCAGCCTCACACCAAGCGCCATCTCCACGCCTTACCGCTACACGTCAGGAACCGAAAAGGGACGATCTACCCTACTCAAGCCCGCCGGCATACGCGACTATCAGAAGAAGCTCGGATGTCTTCTCTTCGCAGCAGTCACATGCCGTCCCGACTTATCCTACTCCGCGAGCCAGCTCGCCACCTATCTCAAGAAGCCTGAAGCAGAGCATCTGGCGGAACTTGATCGCGCTCTCCACTATTTCGTCAGCACCGCGACGATCGGATTAACTTATCACAAAAACGCAACTACACCGACCAAGCTAATCGGCTACGTTGACGCCGATCACGCCGGCGACACCGATAACAGGCGCTCACGCACCGGCTATGTCTACCGCCTCGAGCCTATCGGTCCTATCTCCTGGCAGTCGAGTAAGCAGGAGTTAATCGCACTGTCTTCAGCTGAAGCAAAATATATTGCACTCTGCTCAGCCACCAAGGAGGGACTTTACCTTCGCGAACTGCTGGAAGAAGCGAAGTTAGCCGAGTTACCCAGCTTCACCGTGTTCTGCGACAACCAGTCAGCAATTCGCATCGCCAACAAGAACGGCTTCGCAAACAGGACGAAACACATCGCCCTGCGCTATTTCTTCGTGAAGGACGAGATCGAAAAGGGGAAACTCGATCTGTCATACTGTCCCACGTCTGAGATGGCATCCGATTACTTGACCAAGAAGCTCGGAAAGCAGAAGTTCGAATACTGCATGCTGCTGACTGGACAAAGCCACGTCACCTGCGGCGACACTCCAGAAGCGAAGGGGAGTGTTGGAAACAATAAGTCTTAGTGCGCTTCTGTCGTGTCAAAACCCAAGACACTAGCGAAGCAGTCCGAATCGAAGCATCGAGTCAAACCTCGGAGGTTATGGTATCCGCCTGGAGGTTACGGGAAAGTCAAAGGTCAGTGACCTTTGACTCGACAATTACAGCGCGACAGTTAAGGACACACAACTGACTCGTTACAGAGCAGTTGCCCGAGTCGCACTGTATCGAATCGCAACAGCAAATACAGTTATCTATCCATTCGTATTCTCTGTACTCTTATATAAAACCTTGTATTTGCTTGTTTAATTAAATCCACTTTGCTCTCACACACTAGTGCAAGGTCGGTTCACAAACTTCATTAAAAGCTTCCGCTATTACAAATATCCTACCTTGAGTTATCCTCTGCAAAGATCCTTAAGGGCTTCTTCAGCCCAACACATGTGAAGTGGTCGTCTGGCCTTGAACTTGTGCTCGGAATGTGTGATGACTTTGTGATCCACCCTGAGCTTTGCTTTGCTTTGCTTGACTAGTCTTGTGACCCCTTGTTCTCCCCCACTTTGCCTATGGGGGTGTGTCAGATTTGTATGACATAGCTGTTGTAGGTTATAGTGGGGTAGCACATATGGGGTACAGCTTTCTAGGGTTGTATTTGTACCCAACTTTCACTTAGTCATTTCATTCTCGTTCTAACTTTCTCAGTCACCATTCCGATGCAGTCAAAATGCCATCTATTTTCAAAGTTGCTGGCAAACACTGCCAACATGGAAGGGAATAAATGGGAATGGTTGTTTTGTAAATGCTCAAAATTGAGTCGGGTACGAACGCAAAAAAGGTCGCTTCAAACAAAGTCTTCTCACGTGTCGATGTGCGTAATCTTGTAGCGGCGGAACAGGTTTCATTCAAACTTGGTTTTCAACTTGATGGGTTCCTCCTCCGTTCCGTTCTGGATGGATTGCGACCGACACTGGCGGCATCCCCCCCGCTCGGAGACCTTTTCGTTCCATGCGGACAGCTCCAAACAGATCTTGTCCTGCCCAGCAAGCCTTGAAAAATCAGTGTGGCGTTTCCCCGCGTTGTCAAGGGCGGTGGCCTTGTGCCCTTGGTCAAGTGTGGCGATGTGCCAAGCCAACCAGCCGCGAACCCCCACCAGCATCGCTTCATTTTTTTTTTTTTTTTTTAATTGAAGTTACAGAAGTTGATGGAAGGACCAACTGCTTTAAAAGGCTTCATTGGCTAGTTGGGAAGTTACGGCGTGAAACTGGGCTAATGCCTCTACGAAAGTTGAGGGGTGGCATGCGCGACAAGGACGTGGTGCAGATAGCCTCGATCTAACGCTTCGGTGGTCAATTAGATCAGATTGCGAGCGGATGAGTGTGATCGCGCGATCTGATCCATGATTTTCGTCGAAACAAGACGGAACATCAACACCGCTTCCAGGCTAGTAGTGTGTTCTTTCCAGCTCAAATTTGGCGAAACCAAGCGATCACATCTGTATCGTGCATTTACAGTGTTGCCCCATTATGCGTGTCACATTCATTTTCATTGGGGCTGTGTTGATTGGTCCAGAGGTGTTTTGTAGCAGCGAGCAGAAGCGAACCGCAGCGACGGTCGCGCATAATCGCCTTTCTCCCAAGCTATCGATCGTGATCGGTTGCAATCGATTGCATCAGATCGAGGCAATCGATCGCAATCGCTCGCAATCTCGAATTCGATCGACATATTGCCTCCGATTGCCCAAAAGTACCCTCTGGAACTTCTCGGAAATTGTGGATTGCGGGATCGAGGCAAATAGCCTCAGATCGGGTTACTCAGGCTCTGTTCAGTTGAGGACCTGGTTAGAGAGGAGGGCGGGTCTAGCGTCCGAGATTGATTCGGTAAAATGAGGTTTTATTTTGCTCCTAAGTGTGGGTGGAACCCTTCGGATCACATGAGCCCTTCAAAGGCATTCACATCAGGCAAGTCAGGTGTGCTCGACGTTTCGTTCTTCCACGACTCACCAGAATCCAGCACACCAAGGCCCATCAGGACAATATTTGGATAACCAGGTTCCCCTACCTGGCACTGCTGTGTGGTTCCCACACCTACCTTTAGAGGGTCATTACCAGCTGTAAATCACACCACCACCAGGGCACCAGCATTCCCAGCCCACCCAGCGCATTTCTTCTGATGACCCCAACGATGGAAACAGCTGTGGGGTGCAAACCCTCATGTGCTTGTTTGTCAGCGTCCCAAGGGAACAGCTGGTTTATTTGATGCGCACATTCGTCCTGGCGTGCCGAAACCAAACCAAGCCCTGCGAAGACTTTCACCTCGTTGTCGCCAATACACGCACGGTGAGGTGATGTGTAGAGCTGAGAAAGCAAGAGGGGGAGCTAGCAAGCAGAGAACCTAGTGTTTGTGAGGAGTGACGTTGTAAGAGCGAGCTTCTTCCCTTTTTAGGCAATTTAGTTTCCTCTCTTGAACATGCACCAGATCAGCAAACTCAGGATCGTTGTTCGCCGCGTATGGCGAGGAAGAGGGCTAAGCGTCAGCTGGAATCTTATCAGGCCAACGGGGAGACGCTAAGACGTAATAAATCAAGTCTCTACCTTTTTTGGCTGTGTTAGGTTTTCAACTCTCGAGAACATGATTCTGAGCTTATTCCTGATTCCGCTTTCCGTCCCTCTCCGCAGCTGGCGTATGCGTCCTTCTCCGCGCACCGGACCCGAACACGCCGCCTTATATTGCTCGAGTTGAGAAGATAGAAGCAGACTCCTCGAACCGCGTCACCATGCAGTGTCGCTGGTATTACCGTCCGGAGGATTCTATCGGAGGTCGAAGGCAATTCCATGGCTCGAAGGAGCTGTTTCTATCCGATCATTGCGATAGGTGTCATCCAGAGGCCGTGGAGAGCACGTGCCGAGTACATTCATTCGCTGAGTATACCACGTTATCGACAGTTGAAGAGGAGGATTTCTTTTGTCGCTTCGAGTACAAAGCAGCCACAGGAACTTTCATGCCGGACCGCGTCGCCGTGTGAGTACTATCCTCTCAAGTTCCTTTAAACCAAATCTTACTGTAGCTACTCTCGTTATGTCTGGAAGCGCGGAGACTCATCACTGATGCCGCCCGTCGCTGTATCTCTCGTGTTGGTGGTGACAGGTATTGCACATGTGAGATGCCTTACAACCCTGACGAGCTCATGATTCAGTGCGAGAAGTGCAGAGACTGGTACGCATCCCCATTCTGCTTGGCCTGATTCAATTCATTAGCTTTCAATTCATTGGCCTTGTATGTCCGTTTCACAACAAGCATTTCGTTTCGCTAACTGCTGACCCTCACGGGTGCAGGTTCCATCCAGCGTGCGTCAGACTTCCTGTAGAAAGCGTGCATACCATCAACCACTTCACGTGTCCTGACTGCACCTAGGGTTTTAGATAGTTTTTTTCCTAGGAGTGGGTATTAGTACGGCATGTGTAGATTCTTTGCCCATTGCTCATGGTATGTGTATAGCTCATATGATCTAACATGTTGTGGAGACAGACCACTAATGGTGACTTTGCAGAGTGAGCAGAAGAACGAATGAAGATGAGAATTACTGTAAGACATGCGTACAATGAAAGTGACGAGACCTAGCTAGGCGAAGGGGTCGGGGAAGGAAGGCTCGCGATAGGCAGCGAAAGCTGCAGAGGCAACTCGGTTTGGGTGCGGAAATGTAGGCCGAACCAGTTGGTCACGTGGCTCTCGGGATGGCCTTGGTAACGAGTGCCTCAGTAAAAATTTGTAAATCCTTACAGACTTGCTGAAGCTAGAAATCAAATGTCAGCAGCATCTCCAGAGCATAAGAACTTGGACCAGTTCTCGTAAAAAAAAACTCGGGCCACCCAGAGACCACCGCAAGGCACACGACACAGACTCGTAGTATGGTATTGTATGTTAAGCTGCATGTGCCAGCGGGTGACACCCTTACTACAGCATACAGCCAGCGTGTTAGAGCCCATACACCACATCCACCAACCTCTGCCACACAGACTGATTCGCAGAGGCGATAGGCACTGCAGCACCGTGCCCATCCATAGTACTATGCTGCTGCCCTCGCTGTGCCGGGACTGGAGTAGCAGCAAACAGCCCGCCACCCCGCCACACAGACGCAACCCCTGAAGCAGCCGCAACACCCCCTGGCGCACCGGCATCGGCACCAGCAGCAGCAGTTGTGAAGGGAACAGCAAGAACAGAGTGGTATCCGAAAGTAGTACTTGCGCCTGGCAAAAAGGAGGTCGTGCGAGCAGGGTCTGTAGTGCGGGATTGAGGCTGTGGCACAGCGACTGGAGCACCCGACATGGCAGGAGGAGGGCGCGTGGAGAAGAGGACAGAGGAAGAGGTGGTGGGTGGGGGAGAGGCGGGTGCTGAAAGGGGGGAGCTTGTGCTGCTGGGGAGTGTGGGGTGCGGGTGAATGGGCGGGAGAAGGAAGAAATGAGAGGTGTGTGGGCCTGGCAATGAACAAAATTGTTTGATGAATGCAGGTGGATATAGGTACACAATTGGAGGAATCTTTGATGCTTTGACTCAGCCATGCAGAGGAATGGTTGAACCCTTGCACATCACCCATGACCACACTCATGCGCCCTTCTTGTCAAGCCCCTGAGAACATCCCATCTTATACATGACTACATCCACACCCCACCCCACATCTCCTCAAGGTGTAATCCATACACCATCATGCCATCCCGAATAATCATGCCATCCCCGACCATCATGCCATCCCGGACCATCATGCCATCCCTAACCATCACACCATCCCTATCGAGCACGTAGAGCAGCCAGCCGCCTGGCACTAGAAGCACACGCAGCTGTGAAGCGCGTCTCACCTGCCCTCCCCCTGCATGAGCTTCACACCGATGATGGTGCCTGCAGAGATCTGCTGCCCCGACCGCCCCAGCGCCCTCTGTGCCTCCGCTGCTGTCTGGTAACCGTGACACCAAACAGGAGGGGAAGGGGGGGGTACGGAGGCGACGGGGGAGGGGAGGAGGCGCAGGAAGGGGGAACAGAAAGGAAAGGCGGTTTTTCATTCTATGGGTTGACGTGGAAGCTGCTACAACAATTTCTTTTACTCGTTCTACAAGTGAAAGAAAAGCAATATGGAGGGCGAGAGAGCAAGAATAACGAGGAAAGACAGGGAGCTTTCGTGCTCAATGTGGTGGGAAGTCTGGGTTCCAAACCCCCCATGTGGACATCCGTTATCATTTCTTTGGAATCAAATCATAAGGCAACGATCCACAGACATCACGCGCGCAATCACCCACGCCCCACGCCCTACGCCCCACGCCACACGCCCTGCGCCCCACATCCCGACATCCCCACACCCCCATCCCCGCTTCCGGCGCACCTGGAACCTGAGATTCACCCAATTGCCGCGTCCGGGGCACGGCACGTGCTCCACCACTCGCCCGCACCCCTCCAACTCCCGCAGCACCAGCGGTAGCTCCTCCGGGAGGAAACTGCGCGCACCCGCGGAGAGACACGCGGAGGGGGACGCGGAGGGAGACGCGGAGGGAGACGCGGAGGGAGATGCGGAGGGAGATGCGGAGGGAGACGAGGGAGAGAAACACACAGGCACACAGAAGAGGGGGAGTAAGGACAAGTGTGAAAACGACTCACGACACAATGCAGCTAGACGAGCTCTGAGGCACTTCGGGCAATCCAGAGAGCTGGTTGTGATGGCAGGATGAAGGGGTGCGATTCGAGACATTGAGGGGGACCCAAGTACACTATTAGAGAGGGCACGGAGGTAGGCCTTGAATACATTTGAAGGAACGTTAACGTTTGACGTTTGAGGTTCAACGCTCGACAAGTAAGCGTTTACTGCTTAAAAGAAGATGAAGAAGCGCCAAGGCACACGGGTACGCACCCGTACACAGTGACCCACGTTCCGCCATCCTTCAAATTATCCCCGCCCCTCTGCCCGTCTTGCACCTGCCCCTTGCCCCACGCGTTCGTTCCCGCCTGCTTCTGCGCCGCCTGCTGCGCCTGCGCCACTCCCCGACCTTGCTCTCCTCTCCCCGCTCCTTGCGCATTTTGCGCGCCTTGCGCCGCGCCCGAAGGTCCGCCATACTGCGCACTTTCCGCGCCTCCTGCGAAACCGTTTGTCATACCGGTCTCGGTTACCTTAAACCCTTGCTGCCACTGCTGCTGCTGCTGCCGCTGTTGTTGCTGTTGCAGCTCGGGAGAGTTAAACCTCCCCGAAACCGGGATGTTCGCGTTATAAGAAGATCCGGCTAATCCATTCATACCCGGAGTCTGCGGAGACCCGCTGCGACCGTCATAGTAACCAATACCGGGCGTCCCTGAAGCGGGGCTTCCTGTAGCGGGGTTTCTGAACGGGCCCGGGGTGCTCACGGGAACAGGGCGCAGAGGGGTAGCGGCGGGGGCGGCGGAGGGGGATTGGTGAAACTGGTCCGCCAGTGTGAGAAACGGCGGCGGCGGAGGCTCCGCAGGGGAACCCGCGCCGGAGGAAGTCCGCCAAAGCGCGGCGGCGGCGGCGGCGGCGGCCGCGGTACTCTGCACGGGGGACCCGCGCGCGATGGCAATTGGACTCCCCCTGCTTCCCCCCCCCGGCGTGGCGCGCAAGTCGTGGTATAGGAGCGACGTGGACGGCGGAGCTGCGCGGCGGAAGTCCGCGAGGGGGGTGGCGGAGGGGAAGTGAGAGAAGGTGGGGGAGCGGGACGACAACCCGCGATCCATGTAGCCGTTACCGCCGGGCGTGGCGGTGGGAGGAGGGCCGAACAGGCCTGTTGCGCTGGGAGCTCCATATTGGCCGTAATCTGCTGGTGGGAAGAGCAGAGTAGTGGAGAAATACGGTGGGATTTAAATGTGCGATCCAGTGAACCCGCCGCAACGCCAGAATTCAATGAAACCCGACGAGCTAAACCCTGGGAAAACCAGCGAAAATAGATGACCAAACGCTTCCGCTTGCTGTGCGTACCTCTCGAGAACGGCGAAGCAGCCGAGGGATCGTCCGGCGGGAAAGAAACGGGGATCGCGGGCGATCGATTGTACGGCGATCCAACGTTAGCGTTCGCATAAGCTCCCGTGGCGGCCGATCGGCCAAAGAGGCGCGAGGAGTAAGGATCCGGCGGCGATGCTGACAGCGGGGTTGACGGATCGGGGAAAAATAGCGACCCGCCCACCATGGCTGCTGCGAGCAGGAGATGAGTGAACAGATGATAGTCGATATTCGACCTTGCAGATTCGGAATAGCGAAGTGGCGAGTGTCAGGTGAGTGTGTGGAGGGAAAGCTCGATCCGTACGAATTTGGAGAAACGAGGGTGTGAACGAGTTCAGAATTCGCGTTTTCCAGAGCACTGAAAAGAGGAAGAAAATGGTTCAGAATCAGGATAGCAAGATCCGCACGATGTCACTTTGCGGTGATCGGACGTGTGGGATTCAGAGAGGAGACGAAGGCGGAACACAGACTGCGGGAATACGCAACTGGAAAAGTGTGCGTGGAAATATCGAGGCGGACGCGAAGCAAGATCGAGGTTGGCGCTGGATAACGGGAGGTGGAGAATGGAGAACGGATGGATGGGGATGGAGAATGGGATTGAACACCACAACCACAACACAACTGCTTGCCAGCCAAACTGCTGCAGCATCTGCGGCTGCTACTGGGTCACTTGGTTGCTCCTGCGCCTGCCTCTGACAGTTGTAGGTTGAAATCTCCCGCCACTCAGATCGGAGTTTCCGAGGGTAAGCTGCGATGATACCAGTGTAACAGAAGCGTGGAGAGCAAGGAATTTCGTACGCGTTACTCCGTGGGTTCAGACCGTCGAAGCTACACTTCACGATACAATCTACAACATCTCTCAGGATGTTCCATCCACACCCTAGAGAGTTTACTGAAAACTCTCTAGGGTAGATTGCATTTGTGACAGAGATCGGAGCTGGAATGCTTTCATTGCCAAAGAAGCCGGTCTGGAGAAGCTTTTGTGAGTATAACTATACATGGAATACGTATCAATTTGCATCATAGCCTCCACATACTTGCTAGCTAAATCCTAATCGATTCAAGATTCCCTTCGCCCCTCCCTCACTCTCCCCCGGCCCATTCACCCCATCACCCCCAGCAGCAGCAGTAACCCCTTGCACCTTCCCCAGTCTTTGCCTGACTGCTGCCACCAGCTGCGGCAGCACCTCCCCTGCCTTGCCCTCCAGCCCCACATCTGCAGACACAAACGCATCTGGGTCAAGGTTAACGGCTATCACCTTGCCTCCACGCATTCGACACATGTGCGTGAGGCTGTTGGCTGGCGCCACCTGGGGATGGGGAACGCATGTGTGTGAGAAAGCGGGGGGAAAGGGTTGAATGCTGAGTGGACTAGGAAGTTGCTGCACATGTGGCATGAGTGTGTGTGGGGCTTGTTGGCCGGTGCTAGATAGGGATGCATGTGCGTGAGAAGGCGGGACAAAGCACGAGACAGGCATGTTAGTTCGCATGCAACCTTGCAGAGTCGGCGAGGGTGTGTGTGAGGAGAACGGGAGAGGGTAGAGTAGAGGGCAGAGATGGGTGAGAGAAAGAGAGGGCGTGACATTGGAGAGATGAGATGGACGAAGGAAGGAGTGTTAGGAAGAATTGGCATGCTGTGGTTGCAGAAGGCATGGTATCGCGGAACAGGCAAATTCTTTAAAGTCTTTCGCATTGCAGACAAAGTCAGGAAGATTTTTTCAAATGGGGCAGGCAAAGGTGCGGCAATGAGAGGAGTGGGTTGAGCATGGGAGAGTGGGTTGAGCATGGGAGAGTGGGTTGAGCATGGGAGAGTGGGTTGAGCATGGGAGAGTGGGTTGAGCATGGGAGAGTGGGTTGAGCATGAGAGTGCCGTTACCATGAGAGAAGTGCCAATGACTAGCAGCACATCAGCGGACGCAGCAGCAGCAACAGCTTCAGACATGGCCGCTGCAGGCATGGGCTCTCCAAAGAGAATCACGTCTAGCTTCAGCACACCGGAGCACACTGGACACACCGGCACTGCCACTCCCTGCACACCGGGGATGTGTGCGGTAGAAAGGAGGGTGAGGTACATAGAGAGTGGAATGTGCGGTCGAGGGAAGACGGCTAGAGACAGGTAAAGTGGAGGCATGGGCTCTCCAAAAAGGATTACGTCCAGTTTCAGCACGCGGGAACACACGGGAACACACGGGAACACACGGGAACACACGGGAGCACACTGGCACTGCCACTCTGCACTTCTAGTAGGGCGTGGGGTGGCAGGTGGAGGGAGGTACAGAGGAGGGGAAACGTGCAGTTGATGGGAGAAGAGTGGCGGCAGGTGGCCCTGCGGCATGGGCTCTCTGGAGCGGACCATGGCTAGTTTCAACACACACCACAGCACACCAGAACACACCACAGCACACCAGAACACACCACAGCACACCAGAACACACCACAGCACACCAGAACACACCACAGCACACGAAAACACAGCACAGCACGAGAACACAGCACAGCACACAGCAGCACTGCCAGTGGGTTCAGAGTGCAGTGGAGAGGGAGGGGGATTAGCTTATTGAGCTGCGCCCCTGCGACCTCCTTGGACTCGCTGTGGTCACGTGCACGGACCCACAAGCAGAGCCACAGATAGACGGATGGATGGATGGACGGATGGACGGATGGACGGATGGACGGATGGACGGATGGACGGATGGACGGACGGAGGGACGGACGGACGGATGGATGGATGGATGGACGGATGGATGGATGGACGGATGGATGGATGGATGGGTGGATGGATGGATGGATGGATGGATCAACAGACGGACGGACGGACGGATGGATGTATGTTGGAGTCTACTCAAGAGAGTAAACCGACGGGCGGACCTTATCGAGCTGCGTCAGTGCGACCTCCTTGGGTACGCTGTGGGCGCATGCCATGCACGTGCACGTGCGCGTGTTGCCATGCACCTCCACCACGCCCTCACTGCCCGCCTCCTGCCACATGCGGTGCGGTGGGGTGGGGTGGGGTGGGGTGGGGTGGGGTGGGATGGGATGGGATGGGATGGGATGGGATGGGATGGGATGGGATGGGATGGGATGGATAGGATGGGATGATGGGATCGGGTGGGTTGGGCTATCAAACGCAACCATGTTCCCTTGCCTGCCCACACGTAATACAGCCCATTCACAAAACGTGCCCACATGTTTATTTTCTTGATTAGAACCACACGTAATATTTGCTTGCCTTGCCTGCCAGACGCACCCACCCACCCACCCACACATACCCGCATGCCTGTCCGCGCGCTTGCCCGCTGTTGCGCGCACCCACCTGGTGCAGCCCATCAACGTTCTGAGTGACAACGCACAAGAGCAGCCCCAGCTGCTGCAGCTCCCTCAGCGCCACGTGCGCTGGGTTGGGGCGCGCCGGGGCCAAGTCCGCCAGCAGTGCCTGCACCATCTCCCAAAACATCTCCGGCCTGGCCAATGCGGGGGGGGGGGGGAGCGGGAGGGAAAGGGGGGGCGGGGGGGGTTGATTGATTGTTTGGTTGTGGCGTGCCCGTGGTAAGGCGGAATGCAGTGCCCGCAACATCTCTCAAAACATCTCCGGCCTGGACCAAGGGGGGAGGGGGGGGGGGAAGGCGCGTGTAATTAGCCGATTTTTTATCCACTCAAAAATCGCACCAACTCCGGAAACATCTCCGGCCTGGACAACGGGGGAACGGGACGGGAAGGGGAAAGGGAGGGAAAGGGGGGTTGGATGATTGTTTGGTTGGGGTGTGCCTGCCTGTGCTAAGGCCGAGAGCAGCGCTCACACAATCTCCCAAAACATCTCCGGCCTGGTGTGAGGAGTGGGGGGTGGAGGGGAGCGGGTTGAAAGAAAGGGAACGAGCAACCGCGGGCGCGGGGGGGGGGGGGGGGGAGGGAATGGGGGAGAAGGGAGCGGTGGGGGGAAGGGAGAGGCAGAGGGAGGGGGTTTCATTGATCAATGATGGCTGGGGAGGAAAGGAAGTGGGGAGGGTGGGGGGGAGAAGGGAAGTCAACCGAATAGTCTTACCCCTCACCCTTATTTCTTTCCTTCCCTCTTTCCCCCTTACAATCTTTCTCCTCCCATTAACTCCCTCCCCTCCCCTCCCCTCCCCTCCCCTCCCCTCCCCTCCCCTCCTCTCCACAAAAAGCAGGGCAGAGGGCACGCACTTGGTTTGGAAGACCGGGTAGCTGCAGTAGGTGGCGGGGTCGAAGCGCGCCCACAGCCCATGCGCACTGCGGAAGTCCGGAATGCCTGGGGGCGGTGGCGCGGGGGGAAGGCGGTAGGGGTGGGGGTGGGGGTGGGGGTGGGGGTGGGGGGAAAGAGACAGGGGAGGGGATGGGGATGGAGAAGAGGGAAGCGGGAAGCGGGCAGGAAGAGGGGAGGGAAAAGGGGAAAAGGGGACGAGGAAGGGGAGTGGAAGCATATCCGAATAGCACTGCTCACTCAGTCAACGGTACTCTTCTTGCGACGTCTCTCAAAGGACTTGATAGACTGAACTCTTCCTATACGCTGCTGCGTGCCCTGCTATGCAGCACCCCTCCGAATGACTTGCAGAGATTTCCCTGATGTGCTGCAAGCCCTGCCAGCCGCACCGGCCACACCGGCCGCACCGGCCTAACCACCCGCACCCGCACCAGCCGCACCTGACTCAACGGAGATCCCCGCGCCGGTGAACGCGACGACTCGCTTCGCGCGCGCCACGATCCCCGCGGCGCGCTGCACGTGGTCCTCGGGCGACACGTCGTCGCCGTCCCACCGCAGCTGCTCGAACCGCATGCCCTCCATCGCGCCGCGCGCCGCTTTTTGCCCCTCGCGCCGGCGTCGAGTCGCGCACTCCCTCGCGCTCCCTTTCGGGCTCCTCTCTCGCGCTTCTCTATCCAACTCTCTATCCCTTTCGCTCTTTCTCTCTCGCCTAGCAGATTCACACACACACACACACACACCAACTCCACACCCCCCCCCCCCCACCCTTCAACTCCTCCCCCTGTCCCTAAACTATCCGAGGTCTCTTGCGCAGGCAATTACTGTTCGAGCTGTGACCCACCCCACTCCTCCCTTCCCCCCCTCCTCCTCCTCCCTTTCCCCTCCCTTCTCTCTGCCAGCCTCGAAGCAGTCGCGCCGCGGGCAGCAGTCGTGAAGCGACCAGCAGCGAGCCCGCGCAGAGGCGAACGAGCAGCGCGCTGTGTGGACGCGCGACAAGAGCTTGTTGCGGTACCGGTTCCTGTTGCTCGGTTGGATGTGCAGCGCGTCGTGCAACGTGCGACGAGCAACGTGCGACGTGCGACGAGCAACGTGCGACGTGCGACGAGCAACGTGTGACGTGCGACGCAAGGCCCCAGCGATAGCCCGCCGTTCAGAGCAGAGTGGTCGTTGGTGACGGTGTGGGTAACAACTTTTGACAATGCACGTACTGAGAACTTTTAACGCAAACAATCGTGTAGACATGTAAAATGTTTATCATAATGCCATATGCAAGTTCCTAGGTAACCTTGATGTTGCCAGAATACATACCGCAGAATAACAAGAGGCGCTTTCAAGGAGTCTATATCAACTCATAATATTTCAACACAACACATGTACCAGGCTTTGCCTTACGTAAAAAAATGCCCTACCTCGGTACACACTGCAACCCCGATCCTATTTCCTGCATTGCGGCGCCTTCGGACTTTGCATGCCCCTCTGCATTGAACAGTGGAACTGTGGGTGCCAATCCAGCCAGGCCAGGCCATCGTAGTCTCAAAGACATATTCACTTATGCTTGTACCAAGTGGGCATATAACTTCAAACCCAATGGCTTGCATTGCAAGGCTTTGCAGTGAGATACGCTGCTGGAGAAAGGGCTCGAGGAGGACCTCTTTCTTCTCTTCCTCCCCCGCCTTCCTCTTCCTCTCTTCCCCTCCTCCCTCTCCCCATCCCCACTCTTATCCCCCACCTTCCATCTCATCCAGCCTTCTAACCGGCTTACAGAATTGCCCCTCCCCTCCCCACACATGGCCACACCCAAAGTCGCACAAGTCCTGCTTGCCGTGCTCGCTCCCACAAAACCATTCTTCGAGCTCAGACCACATGATTCCACATCACATTTTTCTTTACCAATGGCCTCCTTCCCCATGCAGAAAGAGGAGAAGTTGTCCGCGCACGCCCTATTTTGGCCACCAAGGCCACCATCACTGCCAGCAGAGCATGCAGCACATTTCCTTGTGAGAACAAAGAGAGAAAGAAAAAGGGAGAAAACATCCAGGGCACAAACACAGGCACTGCGATGCCTCGAATGCACCTGCGAGTGCAGCAGAGAAACACACAGTCTCTGAAACGAACTCACAAACAAACCCATTGTCTCACCAATTTTTAAGCGCCAGATGGAGGAGCGGGAGGAGGAAGTGCAGGGAAATCCATTCCCCATCGCTCCACGTCGGGCTTATAAAACATTCTGCGGTGCTTGACAATATCAAACTCGTACCCCCGGTTGCCCCCACACGGCTCTGACCCCGCGAGCAGGATGGCTGCCTGGGCACACACTAGCTTGTCCACAATCGCCACCACTCCTGCCAGCATTGCAATGCACAAGATGCATCTTAGCATCATCAAGAAAGAGATGCAATTGTTTCAGGGCTACGGCGCGTTATTTCAGACAATGTATGCTCGCCAAGTGTTGCGTTTCAGATATACATACACTTGCATGAGATGTGTCACCTCTCTTGAGTGAACAATTCTGGGTGTGCTCCCATCATTCCTTACTTCCTTCCATGTTTCCTCCTCCCTGCCAGCCACTTATGATACTACTGCCACCTCTCCTCACCTCACCTGTATGAGCTTCCTCTCTTCCCTTACTCACCCCTTATCCACATCCTTCCATCTGCTCCTGCAACACTCCTTGCAGCATGTTCTCCCTTACTACTCACCGGGATCGTACGAGTTGAGCGCCGGGATGAGCTCATCAATCATGACTGTCCCGTTCACGCGCGAGCGCAGCCAGTGCAGCTGCTGGGCCGCCATGCCGGTGATGGGCGTGTCAAACAGCCACTCCAGGTACCCCCACGAGCTCGACCGCAGAGGAGCACTGGACGCATTGTACGGCACGTCCGCGGCGATGAAGACTGCGGTTATGTTGTGCTGCCGCTTCACCTTGTTTATGTGCTGTGCTGCGCTGTCCGTGCACCACTGCATCTGCTGCTCTAGTGTTGTTGCGTTGCCGCGCCCGTTTGGGAGCAGCTGGTTGTCGGACTTCTGCGGGTGGGCCGCAGGGGAGGCGAGAGAGGCGAGGACGGGGAGTGGTGGTGATTAGAGGGGTGGGATGCATGAGCGGTGTGGTGCATAGGAGGCGCCCGTTTGGGAGCAGCTGGTTGTCGGTCTTCTGCGGGTGGACCGCAGGGGCGGCGAGCATGCGTGGGTATGGAGAGTGGTGTTGGTCAGGGGGGGTGGGATGCATGGGGATGCATGGCGATGCATGGGGGATGCATGGGGGGTGCATGGGGGATGCATGGGGGATGCATGGGGGATGCATTTCCAGTCGCCTCGAAATGCAGCTCATGCCATGCATACCACTCTGAAGGCGATGAATTCGGAGCAGAAGTGCACGGCGAGGAAGCGCTTGAAAAAATGACTTTTGAGACGTCTCAAAAATGCTGCACGATGCATTCCCAGTCGGCTCAAATTCCAGCTCATGCCGCTCGTCTCGTACCACTCAAGTTCCAACCCACGCGTTGCCCCTTACCACTCTGAAGGCGATGAACTCGGAGCGGAAGTGCACGGCGAGGAAGCGCTCGGGGAGATGCTGCGCGATGCGCGCCGCGAGATAGTGCCACTCGTGCTTGTACGGCAGCAGGCGCAGCGAGATGTCGTCGGTGCACGGATACATGTCCACGCGCTCCCACGTGGTCTTGAACCACAGCACCACGTCCTTGTCCTGCCTGCTTGGTTCCACGGCACGGGCATCGCACCGGGGTTGGGTGTGGCAGGGGAGTGGTACAGCAGACGGTTGGTGTGGCATGGGTTTGAGACGTCTTAAGCCTCGAAGTGCACATGCTCCCATGTGGTCTTGAACCACAGCACCACGTCCTTGCCCCGCCTCTGCTCGCACGCGGCATGGGGATTGGTTAGGCACAGGGGGGTTTGGCACAGGGGGGTTTGGCACAGGGGGGTGCAAACATTGCACACAGTGCAAGCAGCGCACACAGTGCAAGCAGCGCACACAGTGCAAGCAGCGCACACAGTGCAAGCAGCGCACACAGTGCAAGCAGCGCACACAGTGCAAGCAGCGCACACAGTGCAAGCAGCGCACACAGTGCAAGCAGCGCACACAGTGCAAGCAGCGCACACAGTGCAAGCAGCGCACACAGTGCAAGCAGCGCACACAGTGCAAGCAGCGCACACAGTGCAAGCAGCGCACACAGTGCAAGCAACGTACTGATTGCGAACGAGTTCCCAGATGTCGCCTGTGTTAGCGGGCATGTTGAGGACGACGGTGTTGTTCTCCGTGGGCACGTGGCCCAAGGCGAATGTCAGTAGCTCCCCCGTGAACGCCGATGCCATGTCTGCTCGCCCCCACGCATGCCACGCCCCCACGTGCCACACCCCCACGCCCCCGCATGCCACGCCCCCACACGGCACCCACCCCACACGGCACAAAATGAAGAAACGCAGGGATGAAACTGGGGCTGTAGTGTCACATGGAGGGCAGCACAATCACATGTATAGGGAATGGAGTGGGGATGAGGGAAGGCAGTGGCATGTGTGTTGTGAGCGGAATACGGCAGAGACTTGCACGCATATACACACTCACGCGCGCGCGCACACACACACACACACACACACACACACACACGCACACACACACACACACACGCACAGACACACAGACACACACACACACACGCACAGACACACACACACAGGCAGACACACGCACAGAAACACACACACACACACGCACAGAAACACACACACACACACGCACAGACACACACAGATACATGGTCATGAAGGGGCCTGGAGTGAGATACACCCTCACCCACCCACCCACCCACCCACAGTCAATCATTCACTCACTCACCCTCTCCCACCCACCTACTTGCACTAGCCATCCCAGAGCGAACCCATTTGGAATGCTCACAGCTAGCCAAACCCTAAACCATCACCCACAACACAAACATGCAACAGCCCACCCCAGACAGGGACAGCGGGGGAGGTCAAATATCACAGAAGAACATGCAGCAACCGACGCACCCCAGTCAAAGGGACTGCGGTTGTGGTTGGGCGACATGACCCAGGTGAAGCCCACAGAGGGCTCCTTGAGAGCTGCGCGCGCCAGCAGCAGGAAGAGCTCCGGGGATATCCAGGGCGCCGCATCCAAGGGCGCGAGGTCCCAGTAGGCGCAGAGCGGCAGGGGCTGCGAGAGGTCTATCCGGCTGTTGCTCCCCTGGGATGCCGTGACGCGCATGGCGCGTGGAGAGGTGGGGGAAGGGGAGGGGGAGGGGGAGGGGAAGGAGAAGGGGAAGGGGAAGGGGAAGGGGGAAAGAGAGGAATTTGCGTTTGTTTTAGTCTACTCAGAGGTTGTTGAACGGGGTTGGTACTTGCAGTCTCATGAGTAGTTCCACTCGGTTTGTCCAGCAGTTCCACTCACTGTCAGCGGCGGCACCGCACTCTCTCTCTCACCAGCGGCAGCACGAGGATGCGGTTTGCCATGCGCGCAACGCGCGCCGCCTCCACGAGGTGCGAGCGCGCGTTGCTGAGCTGCTCCTCCGACATGGCGAACACCAGGTACCGCCTCCGCGCGCGCGGGTCTAGCCACCGCAACGCCTGCGCGCCGCGCGAATGGAGGGGAGGAAGGGGGGGGTGTGGAGGAAAGGGGGGAAGGGAGCAGATGTGATGGGGGGTTGCAGGGAGAGTAGAGGGTCTTGTTCATGGAGCAGGCGGGAAGGCGGGGAGTGCAACATGGTGTATCGACCCACAACTAAAGACTCCCCTGCTGTACCCATCGCTGCTGTACCCATCGCTGCTGTACCCATCGCTGCTGTACCCATCGCTGCTGTACCCATCGCTGCTGTACCCATCGCTGCTGTACCCATCGCTGCTGTACCCATCGCTGCTGTACCCATCGCTGTTGTACCCATCGCTGCTGTACCCATCCCTTGTACCCCAGGCGACTCTCAAGTCGACTCGTCTTTCAACTCGAGCCCTTGTGCGACTACTGCTTCCATCAGTGCCAGCCCTCGTAGCCCGCGCCGCGGGTTCACGTTGACCTTACACTGCGGGAGAAGGGTACACCAGGGGCGGGCCAGCACGGCTCGGGCCAGTGCCGGCACGTGCTGCCACGGGCGAGCAGGCTGCTCTGCACGCGCCGCAGGCGCCGGCACACGGACTCCATTCCGCGCGCGATCCGTTCCGCGCTCGTGAAGCCGTGCTGCTGCGCGCTCTGCAGCCAAGCGCTCTCGTCCACGCCGCCCTGCACGGCGCGCTGCCACGGCGCCGAGCACAGAAGCGCCACGTCGTGCTGGACTCGCAGTCGCTCCGCGTTCTGCGCCGCCGCTGGCGGCTCGCGTGCGTCGCCCAAGGACCCCGCCGCCGCCGCGGCCGGCGCCGCCGCGTCCTCCGCCGCGACGCGCGACTCGTTGAGGGCTAGCGTTTTGATGGAAGCGGCTTCTCTCTGCTTGCCCTGTAAAGCCCACTTCTGCAGCGACCGACACAAACTAGCTCGGCAATTGGCGGCGAGGTGAGAATCCGACTCTGACTTCGAATCTAAACCGTTCATAGCTTCGCGACTCGGCGCACGACGACCCGGCCAGCGCGGGACTTCTAGTTCGTGCATGCATATGGGCGGAATGGGCGCGCTGCGCGCGTGCAAGAGGACAATCAACGCGAGCGAAGTCACGAGAGCGACGAGCAGCACGGGCCAAGGAACAACGCCGCCTGCCGGCGGGTCGTGTCGCAGCTTGCTGCCATTATGAGCCGCGCACGCGGCGCCGCAAATCTCGGGCTCCGAGCCCGGCTTTCCGGAGAGGATGCGGTGGGTGAAATAGATGCCGACCCGCGCCGCGAGGCAGTGGAAGCCGTCTAGTAGTACCAGGCGCGGTCGCATTGCGATCCGCCGAGGCGTATGCGCGTGGCCTAGACTCTAATGGTGCTGCTACTGCGTAGGCTACGGCTACGAGTAGAGCTTGCGGAGGTTGAGTGCCTCTCGAGGCGCGATGTCGCGACGAGACTGGTGGTCAACGGCGCTTGTGCGCTGGTATCGCCACTAGGACCGGTTCTTGAAGCAGAGAAGGGTAGTTTTGTTGATTGAGCAGATATGGATAATGGACGTGGGAAGGGATAAATTGCAATTTATGGATGCCCCCGTGCAGACTTCTGGCGCACGGGACGGGACACCCATCCATCCATTCCAGCAAAAACAGGGACTGCTGCTGCATCCCACTCGTTTGACCACCCCCAGTGAGAGTCGTTTCGCTTCGCTTCGTTCGCACACCCCAGTGAGTGTGCCCACTGCCCACCCGCCCGCTCGCCACCACCGCCGCAAACCGTTTTTCTGAGCGAATTGCTTCAAACCCATGTTTGGAGATTCGGCCTTGCACACGTCGTTTCAATTTGCTCGCGTGGTCCTACAATTGCACGATAATTGCTCGAGTGGCCTTGCCAGAGGATTCCCGCAGCCTTTTTTTTCACCCGACACATTACCCGAGAAGGATTTTTAGTCCTGAAAAAACTAAAACCCGTCGCGAACGGCATGCCATTCGGGAGGCATCAACCCTAAATTTTTAGGGTTGATGCTTCCCGAATGGCATGCCTTTCGAGCGGGTTTTAGTTTTGTTTTGCCCGCGTTCAGAATCCAGCGGGAAGAGACACGATCGATGTACGAATTTCGAGGCTAAAAACCCTTCCGGGATAATGTGCCGGGTAAAACAAATGCTGCAGGAAACCTCTGGCAAGACCACTCGAGAAATTATCATTGAATTGAATGACCACGCGAGCGATTCGAAGCCCCGTGGGCAACGGCGACTCACTAAACACGGGTTTGGAGCAATTCTCTCCTTTTCTCTCCATCCCACACGCACGTCCCATCCCATCTCTCACCAAACCAACTGCCACACGCCACGTCATCAGCGATAAAATCTGCTCGATGGAAGGCTCTGCAAACGGTTTCCAAACCAAACCAATCTGTTCGCGCGCAAAGCAAACCCACTCTTGGTTCGCCGCTGCCAAACAAGCCAAAATGGCAAACCCAAGTCCGCCAAGTCAAGCACGCTGGATTTTCTGTGGGGAAGATTGGACCGCTGGATGGACTCGGTCTGGAATATCTCAGCGGAATTGGTTCGTCAAGCCTGACGACCATCTGAGATATATTCGGCGGGGGAGTGCAGCGATGATTGTTGCTCTGCTGCCAAGCCGAACCGAGTCTGCACTCTGGTCAGGTCAGGGCTCAATCAAAATCAGGACCACCAGGCAAGCTAGCGCGGTGAACCTGGCGCGCTGGCGCGCTGACGAGACAAGACAAGTCTCGCTCGATGGTGGGTGCGGGGAGAAAGCAGTCCCCAGCGGAGTTCTCCCAACTCGTTCGGAGGGCTGCCGCTGCTCCAAACCAGTGGGAGTTGGGCTTTGGAGCGGGGGGCGGGGGAAGAAGGGTGTGTCCACCAACCAAACACAAGCGCACAAGGATGTCACCTGGCTTTAAAGCAGCAGTATACATTTGGCAGGGCCATTGCCAAAAGTTTATAAAAGGTACATGGTGGTTATAACAGCTTCCGATTCGCCTCGATAAGACGAAGAGATTGGTGCTCTTTAGGTTTTTTTTTTTTTTTTTTTGGGTTGCGTAGCAACCCTTTATATTTGGTTTCACATTTTGGGGATATCATTTCAAAGTTGATTTTCCATACACTCTTTGGAGCACACATTTGAACTTCTAAGACTTTGTTCAAACGGATGCCTCAAATAGTGAATAAAAACCACTCTTGAATGAGATCCATAAACGTGAAACCATGCACGTGCGTATCATGTTGAAACCACGAACTTGTTCGACCGTCCCACCTGGTCGATTAATACGGCGGATGGTACGGCCGAGCATAATATTCTGGATTCAACATGAACGAATGCAATTGTACAGATGAACAACAAAGTATGAAATGTAGGTGGATGCTTCAAAATGAATGTTAAAATGCATCATGTAACAACAGAGGTTGATGGGGTCGTTGAAACAGCGAAAACCCGCTGCCCCAAAGACGATTAACAAACTCTAATTGCATACATGACACATACTAACACCACACTTTGAAACACACATCCCACAAACATGAATGCAAACGCACGTAAAAAAAAGTACAACCCATCTAACCAAACGCATTAGAATGCAACCCCACAGTGAAACAAACACAACGAGCACACCCGCACAAACACACACATACATACACAAATAGGATTGATAGCAGACAAAACAAAGAGTTGCAATAAGTTAATTATGTATCAATCACTGCTACTTCCTCCCCCTTTCCGCCTGCCTTCCTCTCCCTCCATCAAAATCTCCTTCCACCCTTTTCCACATTGACTTCGTCTCTCGAATTACCCTCCCTGCTCCCCACAACGCATCTCGCATACCTTGCAAAACAAACAGGTCAAGTAGAAAATGAATTGTAGTCAGAAAACCGAGTGAATTTCAGTGACGAGCATGCACTTGATTGTGAAATAGAACTTGAAAAGCAAGTATGGGTTGAAATATGATAAGTACAAAAGGAAACAGAATTTGACGACTCACAAGTGTGGTTTGAGGCATAGATTCCCTGGGGTCAAGCACACCATGCTGGTGGCTCCAGCGAGGAAGGTGCAACGGGCTGGGCATCGCCATGCTACAAGGTGCTAGAGAGTTGCAGCAAGGCACCGGCAGAGGAGCAAGGGGGCAGCCGTAGCAAGGCATGAGCTCACTGCAGAAAGGCGTGAGCTCACTGCAGCAAGGCATGAGCTCACTGCAGAAAGGCGTGAGCTCACTGCAGCAAGGCGTGAGCTCACTGCAGAAAGGCGTGAGCTCACTTCAGCAAGGCGTGAGCTCACTGCAGCAAGGCGTGAGCTCACTGCAGCAAGGCGTGAGCTCACTGCAGAAAGGCGTGAGCTCACTGCAGCAAGGCGTGAGCTCACTGCAGCAAGGCGTGAGCTCACTGCACCAAGGCGTGAGCTCACTGCAGCAAGGCGTGAGCTCACTGCAGCAAGGCGTGAGCTCACTGCAGAAAGGCGTGAGCTCACTGCAGCAAGGCGTGAGCTCACTGCAGCAAGGCGTGAGCTCACTGCAGCAAGGCGTGAGCTCACTGCAGCAAGGCGTGAGCTCACTGCAGCAAGGCGTGAGCTCACAGCAGCAAGGCGTGAGCTCACAGCAGCAAGGCGTGAGCTCACTGCAGCAAGGCGTGAGCTCACTGCAGCAAGGCGTGAGCTCACTGCAGCAAGGCGTGAGCTCACTGCAGCAAGGCGTGAGCTCACTGCAGCAAGGCGTGAGCTCACTGCAGCAAGGCGTGAGCTCACTGCAGCAAGGCGTGAGCTCACTGCAGCAAGGCGTGAGCTCACTGCAGCAAGGCGTGAGCTCACTGCAGCAAGGCGTGAGCTCACTGCAGCAAGGAGTGAGCTCACTGCAGCAAGGCGTGAGCTCACTGCAGCAAGGCGTGAGCTCACTGCAGCAAGGCGTGAGCTCACTGCAGCAAGGCGTGAGCTCACTGCAGCAAGGCATGAGCTCACTGCAGCAAGGCGTGAGCTCACTGCAGCAAGGCGAGAGCTCACTGCAGCAAGGCGTGAGCTCACTACAGCAAGGCGTGAGCTCACTGCAGCAAGGCGTGAGCTCACTGCAGCAAAGCGCCAGCGCGCAAGGCGCCAGCGCGCAAGGCGCCAGCGCCCAAGGCGCGAGCGCGCAAGGCGCGAGCGCGCAAGGCGCGAGCGCGCAAGGCGCGAGCGCGCAAGGCGCGAGCGCGCAAGGCGGGAGCGCGCAAGGCGCGAGCGCCCAAGGCGCCAGCGCGCAAGGCGCCAGCGCGCAAGGCGCTCGCTAGGCGCCAGCGCGCAAGGCGCCAGCGCGCAAGGCGCCAGCGCGCAAGGCGCCAGCGCCCAAGGCGCCAGCGCGCAAGGCGCCAGCGCGCAAGGCGCCAGCGCGCAAGGCGCCAGCGCGTTAGGTGACAAAGTTTGAAGAAAGAAAAGAGGGTTGAACTAGCAGAAATGGGGATACAAATAGCAAACCCTAGAAGGGTTGTACTCGCTATAGAGCACCCCACTACAGGCTAGAACAATAAGATAATATTCTGACACACCCCCATAGCCAAAGTGGGGTGTAATCAGCAGAGCAGGCAAAGTAGTACAAGCTCAGGGTGGATCACAATGTCACCACACATTCTGAGCACAAGTTCAAGAAGAGATAGTTTAGAGTTCACAATTATGAGCAGAGCTAGTGGTAGTCACAACGGGCAAGTGAGGAGGAGGAGAGAGAGTGAGGGGAGAGGAGATAGGAGGCGACGGCTGAAGCTGCAGGCACACGGGCAACAGGAGGCACACTGGCACAGCGGCTACCGGACAGCGCCCGGACCACAGGAGTAACAGGCCCCGCGGCTCAAATAGCGGCGGACGGGCAACGGACCCACGGGCGGCTGGCACAGCTGGCTACGACTGGGCTACCGGGACAGCGCCCCGGACTACAGGTGCTGCGAACGACAAACTTGCGGAGATTCACTCTACAACGGCAGTGAGCTAGACTACAGGGTTGGCACGAACTACTAGAGGTGATCTCCGCTTTGCTTGGTTCCTTAGTGCTTGCACATTCACAGGAGAAATTGGCAAGAGTTTCCACTAGCAAAGTTGGGAATTACAGAATTGAACAAAAGAAGCAATGACAACAATGACTACATCAGGCACCTAGCAACCCTGCAGCCAGCCTGGTCGACTGCTAGCGCAGCTCGGTCGACCGCTTGCCAGCATTGCGTAGAGGAGCCGCGCCAGCACTGCAGAAGTGCGACTTGCCAACAAGGCTAGTCGACGGCGTGCCCCGTAGAACACAGCAGTGCGCGCGCTCGCAGGTGTGCGCAGGCGATTGGTCCGACTTGCCTCGTTGGGCATCCGTCGGCTGTT